ACCAAGAAACATGTCTACCAAGTTTCATAAAGATATCTCAATTTTTACTCAAGTTAGAGCTTGCACGGACGGACGGACAGACGGACGGACGGACGGACAGACAGTCACCCGGATTTCAACTCGTCTCTTCATCCTGATCATTTATATATGTATAACCCTATATCTAACTCGATTAGTTTTAGGTGATACAAACAACCGTTAGGTGAACGGAACTATTATACTCTCTAGCAACAGGTTGCGAGAGTATAAAAAGTCCTTTAAACGGAACTAGTTTTTGATGTTTTCAAAAAGCTGTATAAATATCAATGAATTCTGCTATGTTAATTTTGAGTAAAACGCATTTGAAATTGCCGCTGCTGCTAGCTTCCTGGTCTCAAAAATTCCAAAGCGCCCGCGAATACTTTGCTAACATTAATGTTAACACTACTCAGTTTCATGTTTACATATTATATCATAACATATGTACTCGTATACACGCAACTAAATAAAATCGATTACGCAGGAACAATACACATATTATAGGTATATCTCAACTCGCTCTCGCAATTACTCCACCTGTATTAATTATTATTATCTTTATAGTAACAACAGAAGTAATTGATTAAGAAATCGTTGTGAGAGTAAACAAAACGTAGGAAACTTTACTTTATCGATTATTACGAGTAAATTGTAATACATGATATATAAAACATATGAGAGTGTTTGGCCATATTGAAATAATAATATAACAAGAATATCTTTGCTTGTTTTTATAGGTAGAGTAAAAATGTAAAAGTAGAAAAAGTTAATGCTGGTCTTAGATAACTTTTGCAAAACAAAAACTACGAATCTAAATGAAACTTCGTAGAAACATCAGCAGTTTTTAGAGAGTAGAACTAAAATTGTGATAAATATTTTTAAATAACATGTCTCACATATTCGAACAGTAATATTACATATGTTCATAGTCATGAAGAGTTTTCATCACGCCATTTTCTATGGAGCTAAATTTATAAAAATAAAATATTCAGATCTCATTTCGGCTATACGTTCACGAGTGTTTAAAAAATATTTATATATTATACTTAATAAAGGAACAAAAGGACAAATTGCACTGTTTCCATAGACGCACTTTATTGCTGACGTTCAGTTTGTACGGCAGCTAAGTACATGATATAAAGGTCCGATACCTGGCGTTACGAAAAATGAGCAGCTTCTGCGTGCGGAAAGTAACGGTGAAAAATGTCAGAACGATATCTAAAAAACTGACGGACTAGTTCGCATATATACAGATGGACGGACATGACTAAAGCGACTAAGCTCATCACGCTGATCATTTATATATATTCCTTATAAGGTCTCTGACGTTTCCTTTTGGGTATTTTACAAACATTGTGGCAAACTTAATATATGACTTAATATGTAGACAAATAAAATTACTGTTACAGAATACTCAATTGGTGATATTTATCGATTTAGGATGTATATAGATTCTCTGATGATTGTGTTGTCTATTTAATTTTCCTCATATATGTACATACCCCTTGTTTTCGTAGTTCCGAAAGTACAAAAATCTTATAAAAGAATGCGTTGATACATTTTTATTCTAATCTTATATTATCTTCTTTTTCTTTATCGTGTTTATTTATTTTTATGATTATTGAATTTTGTTGTAGATTGAACACCCAAATAGCTACAACCACCCAAAAGAAATATCAGTGAAATTTTAAGGAAGAGTCGAACAGTCGACAGTACAGACTATTATAAAAAACTTCAGACATTGTGGTTCTACTGAAGTTAAGCAGTGGTCATTTCAGAAAGCTGTAATTGCTCTAAAATTAGACGGTTTCGATAAGAATTCGACAAAAGACATAAAGAAAATGGGATAGATTTTATTAAAAAAGGTTTTATTTCCAAATGAGTCGAAGTTCAATATTTTTGGTAGCTATGGAAGAAACAAAGTTTGAAGCAAAACCCAGACTGTGCTTGCACCGAAGAACTGAGTATCAACCCTAAAACATGACGTCTTCAAGCAATTATAGATGTCAACGCGGGTCCAAATAACCGAACCACAAAAAAAAGAAGTTGGACATAGACTTTTGTCCGCCACTTTATATATCCAATATATGTCCTATATAGGAAAAAGTATCCATCATAACAGACTAAATCTGAACTACACTTTAGATAGCAGTAGTCACATATTTATATGTATGTACTACCATAAACAAATGTCAAATGTAATTCAAGTAAAGTTGCAGGCTTAAAAATAAATTCAGTCAACCATATATCACTTACATTAATCGCAGCTTTCTTATCAAGACGCTCACCTTCATGGCTGGTGCTTTCGACTTTACTAAGTATACAATAAGAATCTAGAGATGGGAATGCAACAATTAATGACTTCAGATGATATATGAAATTATATTAGGTTTACAGGGTGCACCATATGTTGTATCGACTTGTTAAAATTTAACAACTCTGAAATAACTAATTATTATCATGTGAGATATTTTTATTTCATTCCATAGTTTAAATTTTTATACTCTCGCAACCTGTTGCCTACAGAGTATAATAGTTTTGTTCACCTAACGGTTGTTTGTATCACCTAAAACTAATCGAGTTAGATATAGGGTTATATATATATAAATGATCAGGATGAAGAGACGAGTTGAAATCCGGGTGACTGTCTGTCCGTCCGTCCGTCCGTCCGTCCGTGCAAGCTCTAACTTGAGTAAAAATTGAGGTATCTTTATGAAACTTGGTAGACATGTTTCTTGGTACCGTGAGACGGTTGGTATTGCAGATGGGCGTAATCGGACCACTGCCACGCCCACAAAACGCCATTAATCAAAAACAAATAACTTGCCATAACTAAGCTCCGCAATAAGATACAAGACTGTTATTTTATAGACAGGATCATATTAGGGAGGGGCATCTGCAGTTAAAACTTTTTTTTAAAAAGTGGGCGTGGTCCCGCCTCTAATAGGTTTAGTGTGCATATCTCCTAAACCGCTAATACTATACTAACAAAATTCACTGTAAGCAAATTTTTTTAGAACCTCTACTCACAGTGTGAAAATAGTTAAACTCGGGTGGCAACTCCGCCCACTCCCCATATAATGGTACTGTTAAAAACTACTAAAAGCGCGATAAATCAAGCACTAAACACGCCAGACACATTAAATTTTATCTCTGGGATGGTATGAGATAAATTTATAGGAACCGCGTTCAAAATTAGTCAGTGGGCGTGGCACAGCCCACTTTTAGGTGAAAACCCATATCTTGAGATCTGCTTAACCAATTTCAACAGCATTCGGTACATTACGTTATTTTCATATTTTTATGTTATAGTGCGAAAATAGGCGAAATCGGACTACAACCCCGCCTATTTCCCATATAACACCGTTTTCAATTCCATCTGATTCTTTCACTTTCCACTATACATATCAAGCATCAATGATTATATCGGGGTAAAACTTTGCATGAATAATACGTTTACCGTATGCCACCTTGTGACCAAAAATTGTCTAAATCGAACCAAAACTGTTCAAGCCCCTAAGTACTAAATATGTGGACCCCAGTGCCTATATTTGACCTTCTACCGAAAATATCAGCCAATCCACAAAGAAATCTCAAACGAGTATACCATTTGACTTTGCGAGAGTATAAAATGTTCGGTTACATCCGAACTTAGCCCTTCCTTACTTGTTTAAACTATATTTATACCCTGAATAGGGTATGTTAAGATTGGGAGACACTATGAAACCTATCTATATAAATAATCAGCGTGGCGAGCTGAGTCGATTTAGTTATGCTGCTCATTTATCGGAACCACTAAAGAATATAGTTTTATTTGACAAGATATGGAACACCTGTATGGAACTCTTTGTATTTTTTAAGGGTACTATAGCTATGGTGCAACCGAATTTAACGTTTTTTCTTGTTTTAATATAATATCGACCAATGTATTGCTGGAGATCTAAAGGCCAACCATTCTCACCTCTTTCGACATATTTTAAAGTCGGAACTGTTTTTGAGATTTTTAACACTGGTTTCCATTATTTTCACAAGCTGTATGCAAGGAAAACGTGAGGTCAAAAAGAAACAATTCAATAATTTTAAGTAATTTTATACAAAATTCAAAGCATCAACCCATAAAAAAACAACATAAAATCAATGTTAGAGCATCTGAACCTGCTATCAAGCATAACAGTAAGCGGAGCGCGATACAAGAAAAGACACTTAACCAGGTCTGCACTCTGCCCTCACACATACTTACACACTCATACTTGTCCACCAAGTACATCCTCTAAGATAAAGCAACGATTGCAACTAACTAAAATTTTTCATATTTAGGAAAGCACAAAGTAAACAATTTGACAGAAAAACCAACAAAGCAATCAAATATCAGTCGACTAAAAATGCTTGCAGCTGAAAATCAATAATCCGCTGGTTAATTAGTGAACTGCCGCTGGTGAAACAAAGTGTGGCTCGAAACCGGCCGAAGCGGTGGAGCAACATGCAACGCAATGATAGCCCTATACGGCAGGGCGTTGCAGCTGAACTGGTTCTCTTGATGGACGGCGTTGAAAATTTCGGCGTTCATGCGCGTCCGATCGAAGATTGTGGTGTGCGACTTGTTTTCTCATAAAATAAAAGTAAAAGGCAAAGTAGGCAGCTTCAAGCTTGTACTTTTTGAGTTTCTAAATAGATATTATTATTTCGCATGCGCATTTCTTCGTTCTTCTTTAGAAGCAGCTAATTGTGCAAGCATAACAACTTAAAGCGCAAAACAACAACAGGCCTAATTCTAATAGAGCAATAACATTAATGGCAACAATTTCAACTCAAACCACTCGTAGCGCAGCCATTAAGCGGGCCAATTATGTTACAAACCGAAAAGCGCAACTATATTTTTGCAAGTGTGACGCTGCAACCACATACACACATACGCATACATAGTATAGCTTTGGTGTATAGCTCTTTGAATGAGAGTGTGCTGCATTGACGCGCAGCGGTCGCAACCTGCTGTTAGTAAACAATTTGCCGTATTGCTTTTGTTGGTGCTGCGATGGCGCTTGGCGACGTCGGCGTCGCCTCGGGCTGCTCTGGCCGTTCCATTCATATTAGCCGGCAAGCAGTGGCTGGGACTCAGTATCCAATCGGACGTTGCTCGGTGCACAGTCTTCGCCTTTCGCCAGCAAATCGCAAAAATAAACGTGAAAGCTCTTAAGTGGAGTTGTACTAAAAGCAAACAACATTTGGTTTTAAGTCATTCTGGGTTTGTGAAGGGTTAAAATTTTGTAATTAATTTACTGCCAGCAGATTTTGACACATTCGAAACAAAGTTGTGTGTAACTTCTACAATATAATTGCACAGCATCAATTCATCAGTCGAGCAAACGCAGTGTCCGTCGAACGTGTATGTACAAACCTAATTTAAGACAACAGCTCACAAGTGTCTTAATTTATTGCATATTTATAAGTTTATTTATGGCTATTTACTTTTGTTAATTTGTGTTTATTTTGTCACACCCTCTCCCCGTGTACTGGTTAATGTGTTGGATGGTGGTTAAGCATGTGTGCCTTGTGCAATTTATGCTGCCTCAAAAGGTTTAATTTAACTGTAGTCATAATGAAGCCGAAGAACATATTTGCCGATATAGTGTACAAATCATAACAAATAATTTTTCTTTTGTTTTTAGGCTATTTGCGGCCGTCGATGCCGAAAATATTGAAAAGCTTGATTTGAAGACAACGAGTGTTTTTTTTTCGTAAATTTCTAAATACATCGCGGTTCGTCGCTTAAGTCTTTTGTTGAATATAGGAAAGTACACACTTTTTTTGGCGTCATGTATTACATGTATGGCCTTTTACAGATTATTTATAATTTCTCGCAATTTAGCTAATTGTAAAAGGGTAAATGTCAATATACGTCTGGCGACGCCCCTAGGCCTTTAGGAGACCAATTGTGATAAAATCCAAATATCCCCTTACTCTATTGTCTCCCTTCTGAACCACCCGGTGCTTCTGATGAAATTCATTAGAACAAAAAGTTTTATTTGTGCAACGTGCGTTAAGAAAGCGTCGACCGATAATTGCGATTATTTTCCTGTAAAGAGCCTTACATTTGCATAAAAGATGTTTTACCTCTCTTCTTCTACCTCCATGCAGCTTCAACAATAGTCATTGTATGGGGCACTTAGTCTGCTACATGTCTGCCAATTAGACAGTGACCTGTTTGCACCCCTATTAGAGTTCTTGTATCATTCCTTTTGAAATTTAATAGTCAGCATGCCACGTTTGTCTGCTTGTTGAGCAAGTCACTGATTGACTCCACTGAGACTCAGCTAATTTTACAACATGTTCGTATATTAAATATCTACTAGTGGCCAGAGGCATATATATTCTTTCTTTTCCGGAGTTCAATTGTAGAGTGTTGTCTGTGGTGGGATGTCACTATGCCCTGGATCCCATTGCAGGTTTATCGTGAAATAGGATGTTCGGTCCACTAAGAGATCAAGGCATTTTTTCACCATCTTTGACAAAACCCTAGAAGGCCCTAGTGATTTCAAAGCTGCTTGGCTATCTGTATATATAAATATATTCCTTGTTGTGATTACACTCCATGTCAGAACTATAAGACTTTCTTTGATTGCTGAGATCTTCGCTTGGAAGACTCTATTCTGGTCTGGTAAACGAAAGGCGATTTTGGTATTCTAATTTGGCTGTCTTTCCACCTTCCACTCGATTATCCAGTTTGGACTCATCCGTGTAGATGCTTATTTTTGTGTCCTTGTCCACTTCGCTCTTTCCTATTCTTTCTGGAAATGAAGGCAATATTGGCCGCAAATCCGTGGTAATGGGTAGAAATAGGAGCTTTGCCTCTTAGTACAGACGACCAATTGGGAGGATTGCCTTAATCTTAGAGCTGACTTTGCTGCCAATTGGTTACAGAACAAGTCTGTTGGCAGTAAATGTAAAATGATGTTTAGTGCCTGACTTAGCGTTCCTCTAAGAGCTCCACGTTTTTTTGTATGCTTTCCATTATTGGCCACCATACCAATAAACCACATGTTATAATCGGTCTAACAGCTTCTGTATAGAGCCAATAAGCTACTCGAGGCGTTAATCCCCATTTGGGCCACCATCCTTTTGCAATTGTAAAGTGCTGTAGCTGCTTTTTTCACTCTAGTGAAGTAAGTAGCTTGCCTTATCTCCTACTGTTAGCCTGGTACCATTTAATAATTGTGGCATAACTTCTGGAGTACTGTGTTTCGTGAACGATACTAACTGTGTTGTTAGTGAACGATACTAGCTCCATCTTACTAGCATTTAGGTTTGGACCGCATGATGCGGCCCAACGATTTATGTCATTTAATATTGTTTGCATAAGGTTAGCGAGGGTATTCAGGAATTTAGCTCCTACCGAAACCACCCCATCATCAGCGTAAGCCCCAACATGTACCCCCTTCTTTTCTGAACCTTACAACAATTTATTCATTGTTAAGATCCAGAGAAATGGATATAACAAGACTTCTTGAGCTGTTGCTCTTTGAACAGATCTGCACTTCGTTGAAGCTCCCAGCGTTGAAATAATTAACCTGCTCGTGAGCATCTGTTCAATCAATTTTCTGCAAAAGCGCCCTACATTAACTCATGGCTTCTGAATGAAGAAGAACTCAGGCCTTTGATCGCCATGCGGTCAATTAGAGATAGAGAAGCTAATTTGCAATGGTAGAGACTAATTTAAAATAAATGCATTTAAATTGTCTTATCTGCATCTTCTTCAGAGTCGCTCAGAAACTCTCTCTCAGTATATAATTTAGAAAGTCTGTCAACAAGCTCAGACTCCGAAAAACACTCACCTTGCACAATGCTATCTACATCACTGGAGGACTCCATAAGATCTTCCTCGACTTCACACATCTCATTTTCTGATGTTAAGTCAGCAGCATCGGCGTCTGACTTGAATATCATGATCTCACCTTCGTGAATTCATAGTTTATCTCCCCGCCACTTTTTGCCAGCAGTCCTATGGACTTTTTAGTACTTTTTAGTAGCAGTAGGATCTGCCTTTTTAGTCTCCTCGCCAGATTCTGCTGCGGGGTCCTCCAAGGCTCTCTCTCCTCCAAGGCGAATCTCTACCTTTTAGTTGGCAGATTTGGGTTAAAGGCTCTGATGAGCTGCATTATCGACCGATACCAACTTGACTCTGGAGTATACCTCCCCAACCTTGGCTTTTGTGGCCTTATTAAGCTGGACCGATCTCTCGTCATCACACGCAATAATTTTTTTTTACCTACCTATATATATAGATCTCTCTTATCTAGCACCCCAATGATAATGCGATTTCGGGCCACATCAGCAAACGATTTTGTGGGCGTTACTCTTTTTGTCTTCGGTTTTTTGGCTGACGGCTTAGCCTTTTCAGCTGACCTCTGTCGTTTGGTTGCCACTGCTTCCAGTTTATATTTAGGCAAGACTGCTTTCGCGCAATCAATGGATTCCTGGAGCTCTTTCGTAAGCTTCTCATTGGTTGGCGGTTACAGCTGTACTTTTCTCAGTAGGTAGGCAGCTTCTCCGCATACCTAGCCTTCGATGGGTCATCACTTTAAAACTAGGCCATTCCCTGGCAGACGCACTGCCAACAACGACACTTTTGGGATATCTCCATTCCCTCCCTGCCTCAACTCCCTTGCTAGTGCCCTCCCTTGTACTTAGATCAAGTTTGCTCCTGTATTTGTACTGGCTGTTTTCGAGCTCATTACAAGCACTGCCATCTTTTCGAAACTAGTTCCTTGCGGCTTTTTTATAAGAGATCCAGACTCCTTTGTTTCTTTCTTGTTGTTGAGCTGCTTCATGTTTTGAACCCACGAGTATAGGGGAAAGTATAACCTCTTGCGCATAAACCCCGTTACGCAAATAAGGCTATCTTACTACGGAGGGCGCGAGGTATCCGTATAGTAAGACCATCTGAATGCTGTGCTATTGAGGAGCAAAGAACACCCAGATAACAAATCAGACTTTAGCTAGATACCTCCTAACTGCAACAGTGGCGAACTATTACCAGCTCTGACTTTGTCAGTATTTTTTGGTGTCTATTACCGGCACCCTCGGGGAAAGTTCAGCGGGGGGGTTTTTGCTAACCCGTGTGTGCTTTTAAAGACATTATATTTTCTATGTATGTAATTAGGGCCGCTTCTAATAACAGCCAATTGTAGAAGTTGTTGCTAACTGAACTTTGTTCGCATTTAATTTATTATTACATATAAACATTTTTTAATAGTGTTGAGTTTAACTCATTGACTGCGCGCTAATAGAAGCTACGGAGAGTTTAGCCTAACTTTTAATTGGATGATTCGTGATAAGGCTTATATGAGTGCCTTCCCAAAAAGCAATCATAGAAAATTAAAGATGATGAGCTTGCAAAAGTTTTTCGTCGGTCGTTGAGATATGTTTATATATGGTAGATACTAATTAAAGCCTGTGGACCTGGTATTTTGTTCAATTAATAGCAGTGTTACATGTATTATTTCACTCATGTCTGACCTACTAAACGTATTGGATCGAAGCTATTGTTATGTTTCAATAAATTAATTTTATTTGTTGTTATTATATCCTATATAGAGGCAAAGTAAATCATTTTTTGTGGCGAAAAAATATCCTTTAAATACACAATAGTCGATTTACCGGACACTCGGTTTCGATTATATATGTATTTTTTTAAAGATTAAATAACACAAATATATGTGATTTCCTATTAAAGATCATAGATTAGTATTTAACAGCAGCTCATTAAAAGCAGTAAATGCTGCCCGTTAGGAAATTCAGTGAGTAAAAAGTTGTATCTATTTCCGTTTGATATTTTCATTAGATATCTTCTTTTTATACCCTGAAAAGGATATATTAAGTTTGCCACGAAGTTTGTAACATCCAGAAGGAAACGTCGGAGACTCTATAAAATATATACATAAATGATCAGCATGATGGGCTGAGTTGATTTAGCCTTGTCCGTCTGTCTGTCCGTCTGTCTGTATATATAGGAACTAGTAGCATATAGCTGCCGTAAAAAATTAACGATCGGAATAAAGTGCTTGCATGAAATGAAATGTTTAAGGCAACAATGTATTCTCCAAGAAATTGTTCAGATCAGATCATTATATCATACAGCTGACATATGAATTGAACAATCGAAAACAACCTTTGTATTTGTAAAAGGTATTACAGCTTCGGTGCAACGTGTTTTTTTGTTTACAATTTTTTTTTTAAATCAATCAAGCTAGATATCTGCCGCTCCCGCTACAGCAGCTTAAATTGATTTTAATATACTCGTAATGTTATCGAAAGCGTAACTTTGGTCAACAAGCGATATATATAAAGTTGTTCAAGTGTGGGTTTAGTTTAACTAATTTACGAAAG